TCCTGAAACAACACACAAGTCCCTTGGTGTGGGAAGGCTGGCGCTGGAAGGGACCTCAAAAGGCATCACCTCCAACAGAGAGAAAGAGAAGATGCTAAAACAGCATGGGAACACCCCGAGGGGCTTCGGAGGTCACGGCTAGGAAAACCTTCCGCTGCCCAGACTTGGCAGCCGCTTCGTTCCCCTCTGCCGGATGTTTTTGGACCACAGCGCCCTCTGGCCCTCGGCTCGGCTTGCTGTGCCTGATGGGAGTGGTTGTCCCACCCACCTTTGGGGCCCAAGTTTGGCCGACTGGCTGTGGCGGACACCTCGGAGACAAAAACGCTTCCTGTCTGCATTTGGCGCGAAAACCTTCAGAAGGACACTTCGGAAAGGCGGGAAGGAGAAAGCGCACATGTTTGAAGTTGCAGCGTGCAAAAGTGGACGAGGGAATCATTTCAGAGCACGAGACCCAAACCAGACCATTGAAATTATGAGACAGCTGGGGACGGAGTTCCAGCTGGGGGTGGCTTCTCTCTCTCTCTTTTTTTTAATTGCCGAAGGCCTTTAAACTTCAGAAGGACACTTCGGAAAGGCGGGAAGGAGAAAGCGCACATGTTTGAAGTTGCAGCGTGCAAAAGTGGACGAGGGAATCATTTCAGAGCACGAGACCCAAACCAGACCATTGAAATTATGAGACAGCTGGGGACGGAGTTCCAGCTGGGGGTGGCTTCTCTCTCTCTCTTTTTTTTAATTGCCGAAGGCCTTTAAACAGAGATTGCCTAAAAACGAGGAAGGAATTCCAGCTGGGGGTGGCCTCTCTCTCTCTCTTTTTTTTTTTTAATTGCCGAAGGCCTTTAAACAGAGATTGCCTGCAAGGCAGAGCCTCGAGTCGTGCGTGCTTCCATCACCGGTGGGTTGGACTACATGGCCCTTGGGGGTCCCTTCCAACTCTGCCACTGCATCCGTCTTTGATTCTAACCTGACCCTATCTGGACGCCATGTGGGAGAAACATACGGTGGCAAGCGGTGCGGAGTGAGGCGAGCAGGAGAAGTCAGACTCCTTTCTGAGGACGTTTCTGATCTTTTCCTGCCGATCTAGAGAGAAACAAGGTCTAATAATAAGTCATTGTCTGTCTGTCTGTCTCTCTCTCTGTCATTCTCTGTCTTCAATTCCAGCCTTTGAGCAAATCAAAAGGAGTGACAGCTCCGGGAGAAGCTGCTTGGCACTCCCTCCCTTCACGCCTGGCAGAGAATGAGACTTTGCAAAATCTGCCCACCACCCACCGATAGAGAAGCCTTTCAGGACCGGCCCCTCGGTTCCTCTCGGGCGAATTGTTTCAGAGTTTGGCCCTTTAAGACACAGAACTGGGAAGCTACCCACAGTGCGCTCTCTCTCTCTCTCTCTCTCTGGAACTGGGAAGCTACCCACAGTGTGCTCTCTCTCTCTCTCTCTGTGGGTGTGTGCATTGGGGGGCTGTGTAGAGACACATATACACACAGAGAGAGAAACACAAATAAGGACATAAATGCTTTTCTGTGCCATTGGAAGAGGTACAGATCCTGGCTTATCTGCTAGACGGAGACTCGCAAGGCTGGCTTCTTTCCTCCCTCTTCCTCCTCCTCCATCTTCTTCCCCGTTAACACCATAAGAATGTAATTATTAAGTAAGACAGATTGATCCTTTCCTCAAACCAGCGCTCTAAGCCGCCCAGTTCCTGAGGCTTCCTGCCAGAATCTTTTCCTTTCCAAATGTATCTCGACGGCAAAGAAGCGCCTTGAGTTTCCAAGCCCACCCCTGGCCAAAAAAAATGTGCTCCCCCCCTGCCCTAAATTGAAAAGAGAGAAGGGAAGAGGAAGAGGGAGGAGAGGGAAGGCACCGGTTTTGCACCTTGGCTTTGTTAGGAAAACAGTAATGACCTTTGAAGGTCACAATAGGTCACTTCTTTGGACTACAACTCCCAGAATCCCCAGGCAGGGTGGCTGATGCGGATCATTGTTGTTTTCTGTGCAGTCAGGTCACCTCGGACTCATGGCATGAGCGATCTCCAGCATGTCCCGCCTTCAGCCAGGACGCAAGCCTGTGGTTTCCTTGAGGGAGTCAACCCATCTCACCTTGGGCTTTCCTCTTTTCCTGCGGCCATCCACTTTTCCCGTCATTATTGTCTTCTCCAGAGAATCCCGCCTGGGAATCGCGGCAGTTGGCCCATCCTTAGCCCTCTTCCTGCTCCGTAATTCTTAGGATCTCCAAACTGGCTCCATCGTTGGATGCAGAGGAGACCTGCCGTTACCCCAGACTTTCCAGGACGTTTTTTTTTCCAGGCCAGAGTTCTTTTAATTCCACCAAAATACGAAACAGTATGGGGTGGTGGGGATGGTGGTTTGTGTGTGTAACAGTTGGCCCTCTGCTCTTGCAAACATTTCCCTGGAAGCTGTTCTTAAATTTTTGCTGCTTTTATAAAAATGAACCCATTCCATGGTTTCTCTTCCCCCGGCCACCTAAAAAGGCATTTAATTCATTTGGGGCTTTCTTTCTTCGTGTTTCTGAACAGGCACCGCTGCATAATTTAATGCCTCTGGCCTGGTGGGAATTCCACTTTAAGCCATTTCCCCAATTTCCTTTCCTGCTGTCTTTCTGCACTTAACAAACACAGCTTGGCTTTTCGTTTTCCTGTTCCTCCGTGTATTCTTTTGACGAATGGGAAAGCCAATCGCTTGCAAAATGGATCACCTTCACACACACACACACACACACACACACACACACACACACACACAGAGAGAGAGAGAGAGAGAGAGAGAGCCCTTTTCCAATACTTGAAAGGTAGTCCTACAGAGGAGGGGCAGGATCTGTTCCCGATCAACCCAGAGTGGGGGTTAGACTTGATGACCTTAGAGGCCCCTTCCAACGCCATGATTCTATGAACCTGATTAAATGCACGGAGAAATAACAATAATAGCAACAATAACACCATCAGAGCTGCAAAAAAAGGGGGAAGGCAATATGTGGAACAGCATAAAACTTTTTAGTGTGGCATTTGCTTTATCACCACTGTCTGTCAGATCTGCTATGACTTGAATTCCTGCCTTGAGCAGGGGGGTTAGACTTGATGACCTTAGAGGCCCCTTCCAACGCCATGATTCTATGAACCTGATTAAATGCACGGAGAAATAACAATAATAGCAACAATAACACCATCAGAGCTGCAAAAAAAGGGGGAAGGCAATATGTGGAACAGCATAAAACTTTTTAGTGTGGCATTTGCTTTATTCTTTTAAATATTTGTATATTTACAGTTTTTCACTTTTAAATATTGTCTTTTAACGACATAACGCCAGCCTGGGTCCTTTTTTTAAGAGGAGAAAGGGCAAGGTGTTAAAAATGTATTAAATAAATAAATAATAAACATTACATTGACGTTTAAGCGAGGTTTTTGGTTAAAACTTTTATCTGTTGCATAATACTAGTCAAAAACGGTGTCTTTTGTTTTTGAAAAATAAATAGGCAGAACAGGCTAAAAGTGATAATCATAAAACACAATTAAACCAATTATAGCGTCAGAACAGTCCTGAGTTGGAAAGGGGTTTAAAAACATGCTTTTAAGAAGCTGAACATCTTGTCCATCCTCCTTAAAAACCCGGTTCTTGGCCACTGCTCTGTTGTAAAAGGCTTTCCTATATGGAGAAGATCTTTGCCTGCTGGCAGAAGGAGAACAGAAGGGGCCGGTTGGGAGCCACCACTAAGAAGATCCTCTCTCTCTCTCTCTTTCTTTCTCTCTCTCTCTCTCATTTGGTTTTTTAAGAGATTTCCTCTTACCTCTTTGAATCTCTGGACATTCTCAGATAATCTTACTGATTTTTGAAAGGTTGCTGGTTGATGAAATTGAAAAAAGCTTGCCTTGACCTTTCTGGTTTTTTATATTCGGATTGGTTGTCTTTAGATTCGCTCTCCCCTTTTCAAATATATATATATTATCTGTCATCCAGCGAATTCTGCACTGGAACACAGAGTTGAGAACAGACAGACCCACTGCACTTCTTTTTTCCTTATGTCATTCTCTCCCCCCCTTTTTTTCTTTGGTTTATTCTCCCTCCCTCCTGCTTTTTCTTCTTTTATACTAAACCCATTTTTTCTTTGACAACTCTTTTATATGCTGTTTTTCTCTTTCCAGTATAGATTGACAGGTACTGAACACCTTTCTGTTCACTTTGCTCATATTGGAGAGGATGCGTGGAGGGGCTTTGGACTAAAGAGAGCACAGATTCTTCTTCTTTATTGTTTTAATAAAAACATGTGGTGGTGGTGGTTGTGCTGGAGATAAAACAGCCGAAATCTAACAAGCGAGACGGGCTGAACCCGTTTCTCTCCTTTAGATGACTCACACTCTTCTCATTTCCTTCGCTAGCGTGTAATGGGCTCATGCTCCCTGTTTGTTGACAAATGCAAAACTTCATTTTTAGAAGTTCCGCAACAACAACAACAGCTGCCATTCACGTCTCACTTCTATCCCCTTTGTGTCCGGTGGTTGGGGGGTGTGAGTGATGACAGACGGCTGTCCTTCCTTCATCTTCATTGGAGCCTGCTTGGGTTGGGAGCTGCTCACTCCACACCCTTGAGAAAAGCCCCCTCTTTGTACCTCTGGCTTCCATGTACGGTTGGGATCTGCGTCGGTTGTTGGCTTTTATCCATTGTTAAAACAGGCAGATAGGTTGTCTTCTATGCAGGCCAGTGAAGGTTGGAAATCCCAAGTTGCGAGGTGAATCCATTCTGGGTTTTAACCTGAATTTCAAAGACGCTGTCCAATGTGCTGAACCCGTTGCAAGATCAGATCCAGCCCTTTGGACAGCGCTGAGAAAGTCTGGACCCAAAGCAGATTTAATGCCGGCTGGAAGATCGGGGTCACCACCAGCTCTGACGGATGCCAACCCCGCCAGACGTCTCTGTTGTACCTTCTGCCTGTTTTGGGGAGGGGGGGTTGAACGCCACCATCCAGTTGTCTTCCTTAACTCTTTGCTCCCACCTGGTTCGAGCACGTCAGTATGCTGGTCATCCTCCTGAACTGCGTCACCCTCGGGATGTTCCAGCCTTGCCAGGACACCCGCTGCACCTCGGAGAGGTGCACCATCTTGGAGGTAAGAGGCCAACCGTTCTCTCCCCCTTTGCTTGACTTTCCAAACGAGGTCTCATGGTGAATTGTTTATTTTTATTATTATTATTATATGCAGAAAGTCATAAGGTCAAAGTAGGCCCTGGGTCGAAATCTCCCCAGGCAAGAACTGCTTCGGAATCCCAGAGGCCCTTCTCTGTGCTTATTGGGGCTTCATCATCATCACCACCACCCCACCACCACCATCATCTTAGAACTGTTCTGGGAGCTGAACACCAAAACATCAGAAGGAATATGAGTTGAGAGCTGATATAAAAGAGACCTTCCTGTTGTTCCATGGACACCAACTCCCACCGTACCTCATCACTGGCTGTGCTAGAGAGGCATGATGGGAGCTGTAGTCCAAGCCACATTCCAGGGGCCATAAGTTCCTCCTCACTTCCATCCCTTAAGTGTCCACCAATAGAGCCCTGGGTACAGTTTTCTCTTCTTCTTCCATTGATAACCTATCTGGCTGGAAGTAAAGTCAAAGCGGAGCTGGCATGGGGATTATGGGAAATGTAGTCCAAAAGAAGAAGAACTTTCCTGGGCTCTGGGTCACAGCCTTGACCTCCCCTTTGCTGTTGTCACTGGGGGGGGGCAACCTGGACTTATGTTCAGGCTCAGCTACATTTGACAGCAACTGACTGGTGCTCTCCATGTTTTCTCTCATCCGCAAGGTTCGCTTATGCAAAATTACCCAGGTCACAGGTGGGAACGTCCCTCTTTTCTTCCCCAGATGTAAAACTCTGACGGCAGCTTTGTTTTCTCTCCTCCTCAAATGCAGGCATTTGATCACTTCATTTTTGCATTCTTTGCTGTGGAGATGGTAATCAAGATGGTGGCCCTGGGAATCTTTGGGCAGAAGTGTTACCTGGGAGACACGTGGAACCGCCTGGACTTCTTCATCGTCATTGCTGGGTCAGTAGGTGGCCGGTCAGTCGGTCGGTCAGTCATGCATGCTGGAAGTGGAACGAAGGATGTAAACATGCATCTCAATCATGGAGGGTGGGTGAGGGGGTGTTGAAACCCTACTGGCTTCCTTTCCTTCTCTCACCAAACCTTATAGGGGGTGGAGGGAATATGATCTGCCAGATTTATAAAAGTTTTGGAAAACAATCTAAGAAACAAGAGACAAGCTTTTCTCGGTTTGGCAAAAATCCTTTGAACCAAAGAGTCAACCAGCCGGAACCATGGATATGAAGCATCTCCGTTCTGATTTCATTGGGTTTCTCCAATGAACCGCTCTGGGTTTTCTTCCTGTCATTGTTATGGGCCGCAAGACTTGGCGCTTCGTTCATCCACCAAATGCCACGGTTGTGGGTCACTGTCTTCTCATGACGATGCTAGGTTTTTTCAAACCACATCTGCGCAGGAAGCTCTGACATGCCGAACGGCTCCCTGGCTTTCAGTATCAAGTGGCCTTTGTGATGACCCATGTTCCCACCGAAACCACAGACCCTTCTCTCAAGAGCAGCAGATGGTGGCGGTTAGCTTTGAACAGAGAATGGTAAAACCAAATTGCCGGTTCAATTTAGAGTAGACCAGCTGAATGAATTTCTAAATGATAAGTCAGCACATGTATGTATAGATTCATCCCATTGATTCAATGGGTTCACATCAATTGGGACCAAGCAAATTGGATTTAATGTGCTATTTTGCTAGTTATGGTGAAATATAAACATCATATCCACATCAAATGGCCTTAAAATACTCTGATTCCTCCTCCTCCTGCTTTGAGCATACATATACCCAAGAGCAGTTCTAAATTTAAGCTAAGGCTCCTTCCTACAGAGCAAGCAACATCTTGAGTCCAGACAGGAAACCTGTAATGGCCACTTCCTGTCAGATTGAGTCAGTAGAGTAGCCAGTTCTCCTATCTGAAGGAATTCTCCCATATCAAGCTCTCCCCAAACTTAGATCTAGAACTTTTGCCCTTGAGATGCCTTCAATGGCATACAGAGGTGGAAGGAACCACTTTTAAAATCTGCAAATTATTAGCAGTAAAAGCTTTGTGGTTTCCAGTGAATTTGTGGCAGGATATCACTCAAAATGCCAAGCAAAAAATGAAACACTGAAGCTTCTTTTGGGGGAACCATTTTTCAGAGAGGGATCCATGTTTGTCTTGTTTCCACAACAACAGAAACTTCCTTAATTTTTGGAAAACAACCAAACATCATACCCTCAACCCCTCACCTTTGATAAGACAACTACGACAGCAATCCTTCACCCGGGTCTCTGGCAAAGCAGGGCAAAGATTAGGAAAAAAAACCCAACCCCTCCCCGAGTCCAAGAAAGACTTGGCTTTTCAAAATTAAGGTGTTGCTTTTAAAACGAGGCATAAAAGAAGAACTTGAACACTTCCATGGTTTTGACATTAAAAGCCTCTTTTTATTTTGTTTCAAAGTTGATCCTCTGACGCCGTTCTGTCCTCCGAACGGCCGCTCAGCCCTCGATTATGGAGCTATTTTAGGGCCTGGCAGGATAAGGACGTGTAGGGAGAGCGTGTAGCAACCTCTTAGCCCTTTCAGTCTCCTCGACGGAGCTGAGTCAATGCAGATGTGCGGTATCAAATCCAGGCTGTGGTAACCGGGGAAACCTGCATGCAAACAGGACTGAACTGGAATGAAGTCAACCGGCTGGCTTTTTTCTGCCCCACACCTCTGTGGGGTACATGTGCTCGGCTGAACAAACTATGGGCCACCTTATCAGGTGGCTTCTTTCCTCTTTGATCCTCAAGCGAGTCTGAAAGACATGGGAAAGTGTGACCGGCTCTCAAGGGCAGACCCTTCTCAGAGGGCCTGTATCTGCCGCTTTATCTCATTTGAGGGTTTTTATTTTTAGCCGTGACCTCTTAAATTCCAGTGCAGTGAGCCACCCTGTACCAGTCGTGGGTAACAAGAGCGGGAATACCCTTGCTAGTTCTAAATACCCTTTATTTGAGTCCCTTCCTGCATTAACTCAGGCACCATTAAGCTACCTCACAATTGTAACACAACGAGTGTGTTCTGCTCACTCTCTCTTCTAGTTACAGAGTGTTGGTGGGCAGTTGTGCATCACCGCCCAGCATCTGTGCAGGCTTCCGACTGGTATTTAAAAGTAAAGAAAGGGTGGTGGGAATCCACTCCGTGTTTCACTCTGAACTTTAAGCAAGCCGTGGAGTCCTCCGCTAGCAGGGGGTTGGGCTAGGTAAAACTTGGCATCGTCGCTTGAAGTCTGCAATTCTACATTTCTATGACTCTGCAATGGAGGTTTGCCACACTCAGAAAAAAAGAGGTCTCCCAAGTTGGCAAAATGCATTTCCAAGTGTTTTGATGTTTCTGTTTATGTGGATTTAAGAGAGAAAATACACCCACACATCCAAAACAATTAAACAGAGGTGTCCTTTTATTATGGAAAGCACTTAAGCACTTGATAAATTGCGATGACAGCCAGACAGCGTTTCAAGATGCTCCAGTATTGTATTTGTGCAATGGCGCTAGACAAAGTTCTGTGTTGTTCCTGGAAAGCAACTTTCCAGCTCACACACCTGGCGCTTGGTGACGGCTCTCCGTGCTCCGACTGGCAGGTGGAAACTGGAATTTGCAATAAAAACTTCCCCGCCGCTGAGTGGCCCACGGATCAATGCAAGCCGTTTCCCATTGACGTTCGGTCTGGGCGGCAGCTGCTCAACGTAGCCAAGTCGGTTTCGGACAAACCCACTGAAAAGCTTATTAAATGTGGGGCAGGATTCACCAGTAAGGATGCTGAGCAACGGCCGTGGGGGCTGAGAGCCAAACAAGATTGGCCGGAGGGGAAGGGAAGGAGTCTTCTTTGCTTCATTCCCTTGGAATAATTAACTTTGGCACACTTTCCCCTTGCTGGAGACAGACAGAGCTTCCAGTCTGTTTATTTATGCATGGCTATTTAAGCAAGCAGAGGGCTTAGGCGTGGTGATGTTTAACTACAGCGCTCACGATTGCTCTGTTGCCACTCCAGCCGGAAGTCCAAAGCCGTAACTTGGCCAAGCTGCGTGCCTCTCCCGGGGGATTGGCAATTTGACCCCTTGCCTCGCAGGTTTCGATTCTGACCGGCTTGGAAATCACAACCCGTTCATCTTCCTCCCTAAAATTTAAGGGTTTTTTTGGGTGGAGGGAAATACAACCCCTCTTGATCTGAAATCCATTGTTTGGGGCGGAGTTTAACATCCCTATTCTTATGAAACATGGAAGGTGGCTGGAGTTTTCCTGCTCACTGGTGTGCGCCTCTCTCTCGTAACTCTTTCTTTCTCCCCAGCATGATGGAGTATTCCTTGGACGGACACAACGTCAGCTTATCCGCCATCCGTACGGTCCGCGTCCTCAGGCCATTACGAGCCATTAACAGAGTGCCAAGTAAGTCTCCTTGGGCTTTGAGCTGGCTTTAATTTTTTTTTTTTTGGGGGGGGAGAGATTAACAAAAAGTGACACAGGCAGGGCCTTCCTGGTTGATCGGACGACATGGTGGGGCATCCGGACGAAGCCTGCCTTGCCTCCAAAGTCCAGAAAAGCCCCTTCCGGTTTCTTCATGCGTTTCTTTCTTTCCTTGGTGCTCTGTTGGATGAAATGGACTTCTTCCCTCTTCCTGTCCCCTTCCTGAATCAAGGGGAGCCCTCAGCCCTAGATGTCTCTCTCCCATGGCTCTAGCTCCACTCTGACAAGCAAGCCACCGCACGGCCTCTCTCTCATCAAAGACCAACGCCTCTCCTCCTCGTCTTCCCAAGGGCCTTCCCGGATCAGCTCTTCTGGCTTTTTGTATGCAACGGAGGCAGAACCAAACGGGCGTTCATCTGTTCCTGGGGGGTTCAAGTGGGCCTTAAGCCCCTTTCAGCTGCTTTTCTCCTCAATCCAATTTGGAACATAAGCCTACGCGTTTGAATTCATTTCCGGGTAGCGCCAGCGCGGTGCTGGGTGATCCTTTGCTGATATGCTAATGTCTGAGCTCTTTTATTGCTTCTCGGTGGAAATCCATTTCTGCTGAGAGCTGCGGTAATTGCAGGGGGGGAAAAGCCATCAGGTATAGCCACGAGAAACGGCTTGGTCTGCTCTCTTGCTTTGTTGGGAAAGCTCTGGAATTATCTGGCGTTGCTGCCCTCCTGCCTTATGTCTCGGGGATGGAAAACATGAAAAGCTGCTGTGTCTGTCGTTAGCACGACTGTCAGCCCCAATGGGCTTCCCGGTATGCTGTGACCCTCTCTGCCTAAGAGTCCTCTCTTCAGGGGGTGGTCGTCCCATTGAATAGCTTTGGTCTTTGAAGGGGCTGCTCTGGTTTCAAGATTTGGAAGGAAGGAAGGAAGGAAGTCAATCCAATCAATCCATCTTGATGTCCTGAAATTACCCAGTTTAGCATCCTCAGAACAGCCATGCAAGTACACCACTTGCCTGTTTACATTCTCCCCTCCTTCACTTGAGGACAGAAATAGGCAAGAGGCCAGCTTTGCAGTTGGAAAGTGATAAGACATTATCCTTCCAGAAGGACCATTCCTCCAAAACAGCAATGCCTGAGCTTTCACACATGCAAGCGAAGCCTGTGCTTTCCTCCCGGTGAACTTGAGAAACAGAGGAAATTTTCTGTTAAGATTTGTGCCCTAATATTTTTGAAAATGCCTGATATTTTTGAAAATGCAATGAAGTGATCTTGGAAATGCAGCTGGAAGGGACTCTATGGATCATCAAATCCAGCAGGCACCACTGAGGAGATCAACATGCATCAAAACTGGCATCATCATCATCATCATCATCATCATCATCATCATCATCATCATCATCATCATCATCATCATCATCATCATAGTGCATGACCTGACAGAAATTCTCTGCAATGCCTTGTTTTCAATTTTGAGGGTAAGACCTGTGAGGCTTTCGATACCCTCAAAAAGAGTGATATCACCTCTCCATAAGGGAGGCAATGTCATAACTGTAGTTATAGTTCCATGACTAAAGGAACAATTACAAGTAGTTTCTTCCAAGTAGCTAACTCTTTGCATGTGAAATATCGATGCTGCAAGAAGATCCATCTTTATCTTTTATCTTAGTCTTCTGGAAGAGCAGCTTATGTCTGGTTGAGAAGAATTTCTAAATAAATCCCACTAAATTCCTCCTCTGTGTAGATCTGAGCTGTCTTGACATGATGAGGCCACTTGCTGGTGAAATTTGAAAGGCCCCCATGAGATTTCACGCCTCCAGGAAAGAATTGGGCAATGAGGTCTTTTTTTTTTTTTTGCTTCCGACGTCCCTTGAGTGCCTATTTCCTATGAGAAGCAAAATGCACATCTGGAGCAAGTGCAGAAGGACAGAGATGAATTGTTCAGGAAGACACAAGCAACCCATCCTGTGCTTCAGATTCTTAAGGAAAGAAGCCGTTGCCCCAGGCGCAGGCGGGCCATTCGCACAATTCACGCCACGGCACAAGCGAAGCAGTTTTCTGCCAAAATGGAGAATTTTGTGCCAAAAAAAGATTAACTCCACTTGGTAATGGAAGAACTTTTTATCAAGAGCACCTCATGTTCTACACCGTTCTTGCTGAAGAGAAGAACATTGCATTTCCTTATTCTTCCAGTTTCCCGTGACAGGAAAAAAAAAACCCCAAAGGATTTCAAACCCATCTCTATCCGAGGGTGAGCACCCCGGTCTTTATCCTCCATGTTCCCTTTGGCTGCACCCAATTCTGTTCGCCCTGGCCTGCTGACGGCAATAAATTTGCCCGAGAGATTTATTGTTGAGGAAGAAAAATGTCCTCACGTTGTCTTTGTTGGGAAATGGTTCTTGGAAACAGCTGGGTGAAGAATTCCTATGATTTGTGCGCTTGGCAGGGCAGTCCGGCATTTTTTTTTAATTTCTGAGGCATGAGCCGAGATGTACGTTTGCCTGTAGCTTTTATGTCATGACCTTTCAGAGCGAATTCTCGGTATTTGTTTTTATGTGTTAACCCTCTTGCAACAGAATGAAAAGCGCATATGTGGAATTTAAGGGTATAAATCCTCACTCATCTCCTCCTTTTCAGGAGAGTGAGAGGGACTGTAATGTCCTCCTCCTTACAGGGAGGGGAAAAGAACAAAAAAATTTCCTCCCACTCCTGATCGGGTTCTCCCACATTGGAGACCAGGTGGCCCATTTTTGCACAAATTCTCAGAGGGGGGAGAGAGATTTTGGGCAAATGGCAGAGACCTTGAGGGGAGGAAACTGGCTGTCTTGTCCTCCTTTGGCTGGTGATGAGGAATCTCGGGGAACCTTGAAATTCCACCCTCAGCTTCTTGGTTGTATCCAGGCGGCCCAAATAGAAGAGGAGGAGGAATCGAATCAGAATACCCACAGGGGGAACTTCTGTATTTGCTGAACCCACTGGGAACATCCGTGTACTCAGGGTTAGGATAACGATTAGGGTCAGAGTTAAGGTTAAGTGGAGAGTTTCATGTTTATCCCTTTTATTTCCTTACCCCAATGAGAATTAAAATCCCATATTATGCCCCTCCCCAAAAAATGGGGCCAACCTACAGATTGTGGGCATGCCATTTCTGCTGCTCTTCATTCTAGTTTGCTAAAAGGGCAGGGAGGGGGGGGAGAAAGCATGGCACGTGGTGTTGGAGGAGAGCTTTGCCAACGTCCTGGACTGCCAGAAAGGTGACCAAGGGGGTCCTGGATCAAATCAAGCCTGAACTTTCTCTAGAGGCAAACATGTTGAAGCTGAGCCTGTCTCCTTCTTGGGGCCCGTCGTGGGAAGGCAGGATTCTCTAGAAAAGACCATCATGTTGGGCAAGGTTAAAGACAGCAGGAGAAGAGGAAGACCCAATACTCTTGGGGCCCGTCGTGGGGAGGCAGGATTCTCTAGAAAAGAGGAGCAGGAGAAGAGGAAGACCCAATACGAGATGAAGTGACTCCCTCAAGGAAACCACGGTCTTGAGTCTGCAGGAGCTGAGCAGGACAGCTGAAGACAGGACATTTTGGAGATCGCTCATAGTTGAAGACAGGACATTTTGGAGATCGATCATTCATGTGGGTCACCCTAGGTTTGGGAAGACTTGATGGCACAACAACAACAACAATAGGTTATGTGCCCAGGATCTTTTTCATGCCTCCTCTATTTGGTTACCCACGGCGGATGCCTGAGCTTTTGAAAATACTGCTTGCAACCGCCTAAGGAACCAGGCTGCAGAAGAACTGAATTGCTCTTGGTGGGTTCTGCAAGATCCGGACGCATGGGAGGGGACCCTCCCAATGCTTGAGTTTAGGATTACCGTTTGCTAACAGCGGTGGCTTCCGCCTCCATAGATGTGGGGCTTCGATGGCCCACTAAGAACAGCAGCTCATCCCACCCAAGAAAGAGAGGGAGAGCGAGCGAGCCGGGGTGTGGGGTGTGTGTGTGCGTGCGTGCAGACCGACGGGATGTAATGAATCGTAGATAGCATCAGCTCTCCAGGTAATCCTTTCTGATCCCCCAGTTCACAGACAAAGCCTTCGTGTTCAGTTACACTCCCGGGCAGCTCCTTGCCGTATAGATTACATCCTGACCCGGCTGGCGTTCTTCCCCCCCGCCGATTGTGGAATGAGTGGCCGCTCCGACAAAGGGGGGGGGACACAATATTTGCCTCAAAGCAGCTGGTCGAAAGACACCCCCAAACAAGGGCACTCAATGGCACGGTTGAAGCGGTCAGTTGGAGACTTAGGCTCGTGGTTCTCCAACTGGGGGGGGTGTCCCCAGAGGTTCTTGGACTGCAATTCCCAGGAGCCTCTTCACCGCTCGCTGTGCTGGCCGGGATTTCTGGGCGCTGCAGTCCGAGAACCTCTCGGGAGACGCCAGTTTGGGAACCGCTGACCTTGAGTTCAAGGGAAGAAAGTTGGAGGAATCGTGGCAAAAAAGAGGAGTGTTTCATGCTCTGCCCCTCGTTGTGTTTTGTGCTGTGGCACTAACAGAAGTACTGCAATTCCCCCAAAATAAGACAAGGTCTTATATTAATTTTTTGCTCCGATAAATGCATAAGGGCTTATTTTCAGGGGATGTTTTATACTTTGCATGTACAACCATCTACGTTTATTCAGATACAGCCCTGTCATCTTCTTCTGGTTGCTACACAAGGGTGGCGGGAAGGGGTTTCCCTTAACTGGGGCTTATTTTTGGAGTAGGGCTTATATGGCAAGCATCCTGAAAAATCCTACTAGGGCTTATTTTCAGGGAAACAGGGCAGGTGAAGTTTTTAAAATGCCACCACATTTTTGTTTTCTGTAATTTTTTTCCCTTTTCTTTTTGCCCTGACCTGCAAAAGTTTAACATTGCTTAGTGGTAACGGCAACACTATATTTATTTATTGACCGCACGGAGGGAGCATTTTTGTGCAAAGTCACCAGGTAGCCTTGTGGCGCGTTGTTCAAGTCCCTGCGAACAAGCTGCCGGGACCCAGTTCCTCCCTCTCTCTCTTTCTCCCTGGCATCCGTGCTCTGCAGAGCCGTGGGCTTGGCAAGGACCTCCCTTCCCTTTGACTCCCAGCAACAAAACATCGAAGAAGCTAGCCCGTTCCTTGCTTCCCGAGGGTGTTCTTAAGAGATGCTCTGCTTTCTTCTTCCCCTCCTGGGCATGAGAGCCAGAAGGCTGAGCAGGCACCCAACATATGCTTAACAGTTGCACAGCTGAGTTTGGAAAGGTGGCACCTGTCACCGTTTCCTCACCTGATCCATCTGCCGCGCCCACATCCTGCAAGGTTATGTTTCCTCCTTCGTTACCCCACGAGCCGCCGTGATTGCTTGAGCCCATGGCAAGATCTCTTCTTCCCCCCTCCCCCCCCTTTTTTTTTGCAACAAAGAGACAGTGGCATTCAGCATTTTGGCCCTTGCATGCATGTCTGTATGCACTCATGCACGTGCATGCGTTTTTTGGGGGGGCTGAATGAAGGTAGGGATTTTGGCATGTGTTTTGTACCATCACAGTTATCCCTGCTGGTTTTATTTTTAAAAGCAGGCTCAGCGAGTGTTTGGCTTTTACTTTTAAATGCAAATAGGAGGAATGGAAGGCAGGAGGTTGTTCTGATCTAAACCAGAGCACTTGCACAGGAGGTGTGTGGGGGTCTTTACTGTGTCTCCCCCCCCCCGCCATCCGGGTTGTCTGACGTTAGCTTAGGGCTCTGTGGTTTAAAGGACCTCTTTTCGCCCACCACCAACCCCCAAACCTGCCTGTGCTTTAAAACTTTGCTTGGAAGTTGTTTTTTTTTTTTCCAGGCATAGGAGACCGGGATTGATTTATTTATTTTGCTTTAATGGACTCCTCTCCCAAGGAGATGTGCGGATCGGGCCTTGCCTGTGCCGGACTTCAGAGGAGCTTTGAAGACGTGCCAGTTTTAACTGGCGGTGGCTGAAGATGGTTTCAAGCCTTCGTTCTAAGAGCCTTGTTTTGTTGCATATGGGTTGAGGAGCGGGGTTTTAAAAACCCTCCAGAAATGCTTGAAATAAATAACTGTGCCTGCTTCTTTTTCCCTTCCCTCTCCCTCTCTCTCCCTCTCCCTCTCTCTCTGCAGGTATGCGCATACTGGTCACCCTGCTGCTAGATACTCTGCCTATGTTAGGCAACGTTCTTCTTTTATGCTTCTTTGTTTTTTTCATTTTTGGGATCGTTGGGGTGCAACTCTGGGCCGGGCTGCTGAGGAACCGGTGTTTCCTGGACGCCAATTTCCAAATGTAAGTCCTTCGGAAATCGTCCTGTTTCATGCCAACCTCTCTGTCCTTCCCACACCAAAAAAGGGGAGGAGGGCATGCAATCACATGCAGGCATACCTATGTGCCGGATTTGAATTAATAACAAAAACGTCATTTAGGGCAAACTTTGGGGGAGGAGAAGTGGTAGAGTCCTGAACTGATGGAAGGGACTATACCATCGAGACAGGAAGAGTATTGCTAAGTTCCTCGTTCTTGCAAATTTAGGATGTCTCGCCCAGTGAGATACCTCCTGGATGAAAGGTCAAGCCTTTAAGGACAGTTTCATTCCCGTCCCTAAGCAAGGCTCTGGAATGTAGGTAAAAATGTGCTCTTTCCCTTTAAGAAGCAAAGTACCGACCTCTAGAGAGTGCAGAAAGACTGGTTAATAAAGACACAAGCAGCCCATTTGGTGCTTCACATTCCTGGCAGAGCAGATGCAGACGCTGTCATAGTCTGGGGTAACTGGGCCCCTGATGCAGGCGGCATTATTTTGTGCCAGAAGGTGGCAGTTTTCCAGGAAAAACATAGGGAGGGAGGAGCGGAATCCTTGCTTTTGAGGAGAAAGCTGTGTCAAGGCTGAAAGGAAATCCGTCCTCCTCATCATCATTGTGGAGAATATCGTTCCCGCCTTTTTCCATGATGAAACGAATGAGCACATTCCCCCTATGCGAAACCCTGAGGTGGCTGCTGCTATCCTTCCCTTTGCCCCCTTTTCTGACCCCAAAGAAAAAACAGTCTATCTCGTTAGGGCTTTTTGAAGAAACTTTGGAAGGCTTTGGGTCGGTCGCCAGTGCCGCAGGTCTGTCGTAAAGGGTTTTGCTTCGGCCCTTAATTAAAACGCCAACTCTTCCCCCATCGTTGTCCTGTTGGCAGTCTGGAGCCCTCCGCTCTCCAACCTTCTTGAGTGTCTTTCTCTTTTTTTTAACGTCGAGGCCGCCTGCCAGGATGAAAAAGTAAACAGGGCATTCCAGGCAGCTTTGTGTGCTTACGCAAAAGGTGCTTGGAGATTAGCCTGCTCTCAAATTGTCCAGGTTGCCCCTTCGCAACAAAAAGCTCACCTTCTCAATAGCTTGCAATACATGAAAGCTTGCTGGAGGGGAGGCAGCAACAGAGATCCCTTCTGGATTTCAGTCCGAACTTTACAAGAGCTCTCCAAGACAACTGGACTTACTTAGGAGGCGAGTTCTCAGAGCTTGGTATGCCACCTGTTGAGTTTCAAGAAGGAAGCCTTGAATGGGTTCCTTGCACCGTTTCTGGAACTTTGCGTGTGGGTTTTGTGTGACATTTTGACCCTCACCCTCTCCTCCAGGACTTGACTCACAGATGAACAGAGGCTACCATGAGAGAGAAAAACTCCCTTGCCTTGCTCGTAGCTGGAAGTCAGGGATTTCCAGGGCCTCCCAAATGTTTGGTCGAGATGTCATGCAGGGTGGACGTCACTCAAATCCATACAGATGAGGGATTTTGTGCATATTCGTCAGGAAAGGACAAATCCACTTCCCCACATCTCCGCCCTTCCCTCCGGCTTCCTCCCTCCTAGCCAGGATGTGCTAAGTACCTTGGAGGGGCTTCCCAAAACCCTGTTAGCCGGTGTGTCATCTCCCCCTCCGCCTGTGGTCTTGACGGTGGCCTCTCATAACCCCCCTAATGGGAAACAATCTCTCTTCACCTCCCTGATAAGGAGCCTGGTTCCCTCAAAGGCCTTGTTCCCGTCTGCTGAGCTGTAGCACGAGCGACATTTTTCAGAGCCCCCGATTATTCTGGGGTCGTGCGGCATGTCATACAAAGAGCCCACCCACTTTCGGTCCCCGTTTTGCATCTGGGGAGAGCAAATGAGATGCAAGGCATTATCCTCTATGACAAAGGAGACCCAGGCGGACAATGGAGCCTGTCATTGGCTCGGCTGATTTTATCCTTGTCGAAGCTCGATTTTGAGCGCTTCTCCCACCCCCCACCCCACCCCCCACCCTTGGCATTGCAAAAATTCTGCCGGGCATGTTTCGGCCCATAACGTCTGAAATGTTATCAGAGAACCAACAGGCCCTGCCAGAGCCAACTCCCCGGATCCTGTCCAAAGCAAAATGTCAAACCGGGGATAATTGGGTTGCAAAGTTCAGTTGTCACCCTTCTGAGCAGACATTGCCCGCATAATCTGCTCCAAACTGTCTCCTTCGGGCAAAACTCAAAGCTCGGAAACATCAAGTTAGAACACAGGGTTATCCGTTACCAGCTTTTTGCTTGTGCTTCTCTTGCAGGGAGATTGTTTTGTGGTTCCAAGGTTAAATAGATGTGCCGTCAAGTCGGTTCGGACTTAGGGTGACTCTTTGCAGGGTTATCTAAGTAGATAATAAGTGGTTTATCCTTGTGCAGCTGGCCCAAGGCTACCCAGGCTGGATCTTCCCCCAGGAGGACCCCTCCCCACACGCACACACTTACACCTCTGTCTCTGCAGCCAGACGCTTAAACCATTGAGCTCTCTGGCCAGCTTCCTTCTGTAAAGACGCCTTAGAAGATCTGTATATATATGGATGTAAGGGATTCAAGATGGCGGTTTCTCCATATATTCTGTTCGGAATCCATTCCAAGGCCAGCACCGATCCAAGGAATGATGAGTCCGTGGGGTGGGTAAAAGAAGGCAAAGCTTTGCAGCCATTAAAACTGACAGCTATCTCAGCCGAAAAGGGGCAGCAGCCGGAATTCCAGAGCATTTTTTTTTAAAAGTGATTGAAGATAAGCGTAAATCAGCCCCCTTGGTTCAATCCAAAGAGTTCCAAATGGCCGTCGGCTGAGTCTCTTCTCATTAAGCGGTGCATCAACAGATGGGCCGTTCTTTTTAAAACAAACTTTGAAATGGAAATCGGGTTTTCTCTGAAAGTTTGCTCTAGAGAGAGTGTCTGAATCTCACTAGCTGGTGGCGTTCAGAAGAAAAAAGGGGCGTCTTTCGAAAGCTTCTGGGGAAGCCTGGCGTTTCCAGCCTCCCAGCGCTGCCACCCTCCCCTACCTGATGCAGTCCACAAGATGGGAGCTGCAGCTCTGATCATGAGGCCCAGTGGCTAGAGCGAATTCAAGTTGTAGGTCACATCTCCAAGACCTTGGGTATGTTTTGCCTGGAAAGAGGACGGAGAAGTGGTATGAGCACCACCTTCCAACATCTAATGGGCTTCCCCATGGGAAGGCAACTTGAGCCATTTTTTGGCCGGTTCAGAAGCCATTGGGGTCAAATTACAAGAAAGGGTATTTCAAGCCAACATTCATTTCTTTACCAGAAAGGATGCTCAACGGTGGGAGGTCTCTGTGTCTCAAGGTGGTGGGCTCTGCTTCATCAGATGGTCTTAAACATCAGGCGGATGTCCATCTATCAGGAATGCATTCCCTGTGGATATCGAGCATTACCAAGGGGTTGGAGTTGATGACCTTTTGGGGTCTCTTCTGAATTTTTGCTTCCATGACCCAGGTTGGGGAAGGCCTCATTGGAACCTGAAAACACCAAACTCTCTCCTCTATTTATGTCCACCAGAATCCGTGTTCAATGGACTAATCTCTTTATGAGTTCATTTTTCTACCCCAGCAGCACTCTTTCAAGACACCGCTTTATATTATTATTCACGATGACTCTGGAAGGGAAGAAAGGGAGGTGAATGGGGGGAAAAAAGAGTTATCATCCTACGTCCATCCCCAGCCAGTAATCGCTGGGAAGTGGCACAGATTACATGTTCCATTAAAACCACACACATTCGAGCGCTGCCCTCATTGGGAAGAGCCCTCCTCCCACCTTCCCCCAGGCAAGAAAAATCAGAGAGGATTCACACCCTCATCTCCCTGTCTCTCTCTGGTTTGTATTTTTATTAAATATATGTATAAAAAGAGAGAAAAGAATATATATACATTCTTTTCTCTCTTTTTTAACGTATATTTATAAAAATACAAACCAGAGAGAGACAGGGAGAAGCAGGGCGAAAAAAAAATGGAAAAGGAAAGGTGGAAATGCACTGGATATAATCTGTTAAGCAAATGTTACCAAAGGCATTAAGGACTCTCTGGGTTTCTTTCCCCTTCTCTCCTGCCCAAGGACATACAACTTGACTTTCCTGCATCCGTATTATCGACCAGAGGAAGGGGAAGAGAATCCGTTCATCTGCTCGTCCCACCGGGATAACGGCATGCAGAAATGTTCTAGCATCCCTAACCGGAAGGAGTTCAAGGTGGAATGTACTTTGAACCTGGACGCCTACAACCCCAACTCGTACAGCTTGGACCTCAGCCACCGGAACTCTGCCTGCATAAACTGGAACCAGTATTATAACATTTGCAGGCCGGGGGACCTGAACCCGCACAATGGAGCTATTAATTTTGATAATATAGGCTATGCTTGGATAGCTATTTTTCAGGTAAGGCCCCTTTTTCCTCCCTTATGGTGGCGGCAAGCCGTGTTTTTTTTCTGAGAAGTTGGTTGGCTGGTGGGAGAGAATTTCCTCCCTTATGGTGGCGGCGAGCTGTGTGTTTTTTTTCCTGAGAAGTTGGTTGGCTGGTGGGAGAGAAACAAACCGAAAGGTTCATGAATGTTTATGTTGGCGGATTATCATGTTCTGTAGGGACTCGATTGTTGTACGTGCCATCAAGTTGCCTCCGACTTATGGCGACCTTATGAATGAGCCATCTCCAAAATGGCCTGTCCTTATCTGCCCTGTTCAGCCCTTGTGGTTCTGTTCGAGGGTCAAACCATCTCGTATCGGGTCTTCCTCTTTTCCTGCTGCCTTTCCACCTTTCCCAGCATGATGGTCTTCTCCAGAAAATCCTGCCTTTTCAGGATGTGCCCAAAGTAGGGACAGCCTCGGTTTCGACATTTTGGTCTCCAGTTCAGGCTCGATTTGCTTAAGGATCCACTTGTTCATTTTTCTGTCTGTCCAAAGCTCTCCTCCAGCACCCCGGGTCAAACGAATACACTGTTTCTCCTGCCAGTTTTCTTTACCGTCCAGCTTTCGCACTCAGAACTTAGTGATTGGGAACCCAAGTGCGTGGATGACCTTGATACTTTCAATCGCGCGATTTTTCAAAAGAGGTAGTGGCATTGGCCCGTTTCAATCTGTGGAGAAACATCAACATCAGCCTTTGAGACTGACGGATCCCTCTTAGCATGACCTTTCATGGATTTTTTAAATCCACTGATTTGGATCCACTTATTACGTCTGAAGACGTGGTTTCCATTGCATCTTAGTTCGAGCAGCGGGGTTCCTGCCCCAGTGCCAGCTGGGAGTTTCCTTACTGAACAGGAAACTAGGCCTAGCAAGGCCTCACGGCCTCCTCATTTTAGGCCTTTCTCCCAGGCGAGCCACACTTAGCAGTCGGCCTCTCTCTCTCTCTCAGATAGAACTCGAAAACATAACGAGGGTGAGCGGGGAAGAAATGTCCCTTTTTCTGGCCCTGTTGCCCCCGCTCCAATTTCCCAAACAGGTTTTGAGGTGCAATGGGGGATGATGGGGTTTGTAGTCGGAGGAATCCTAAACCCCATCCCTGCACCCTTCCTCCTTCCAACGCTTCTGTTAAAAAACGGCAATGCGTTTTGTGAACCATTCAGACCACACTGCACCTCAAAAGCCTGATCGGGAAATGGGAGCACCGGGAGGGGGGGGGAATAGCATTGCCGGAAAGAGGGACCTTTCTCCCCCGCTCGCCCTCGTTACGTTTTCGAGAGCTTAATCATTTGCTCTTGTAATCCGCCCAATTACACTTGTTTCAATGCTCGTCGTTCATGGTGTAATGGACGAGCGCGCCGCATCTATTTATTAGGAAGGCGCATTCCATGGCAAATTATGGGAAGTAATTATCTTATTATGGGATGAAAAAGGGGAGATGGGAACCTAAATTAACTCTGAGATATTAAGATCCTTCAGCTGTACACGGCGTTTGGAGGAAGCAGTGGAAGAGCTAATTAAGGAAAGGCACTGCTGCTGTCCCGCGCAGGGTGAATTGACTGCCTCACAAGCATTCCAAGTTGTTCTGGGTTACAGCAGGATAAAGAGGAGCCAAAATCCTGTTTTTCAAGGAGAACGACCCGTAAACTGGAAAAGAAAATAGATTTTCTTAAGTCCTCCCTCCCCTGAAGAACAAGAAGAATTGGAATGTAAAAATCCTCCCAATAGAAGCTTGGACAGTCCATAAATTCGGAATGCAAGTGGAGAACTCTGTTGTTGTTTCCAGTCTCCTATATTCGAGGTTTCCCGCATGTAGTAATCTAGGGACTCATTCCCTGACATGCTAGTTTACTACATGCAAGGAGTTTCTCCTGGTTTTTATCCCCCTCCTGAGCATAAAGGAGCCTGCAAAAATAACATCCTGCTTTCCTTTATCATACCATCATCCCTTGCTGCCTGGAGGGCCAAGGATGATGGCTCATGGGTTGAAGTTACAGAAGGGGAGATTTGGGCTGAAAATGAGGAGAAGCACTTAGGTATGACATGAGAGAAGCTAGGTACCTAGACGGGGGGCGGGGGGCTTCTCTAGCCCCTGCTGGAAATCTTGAGGTGAGATCCAGACAGGTAAGTATGAGAATGAGATGCATTGAAAGGTCTCTCTCCACAGGGTAGATTTGCAAGAGCTTGGGCGCATTTTTTGCAGGGTTGGATTCCCTCGCACATAGGCAAAAAGAAAAGGGCCAGAAGTAGTCTTTTTTACAAAAAAAAAAAGATTTCTCTTTCTCTTTATTGCAAAAGAAAAAACTGATTCATTCATTCATTCATTTTTACAAAATGCAAGATTTTCTCACAACAGGAAGGATCGCTAACAAGAGGCGCCGTTGGTTGTGGTGATCGCAACGTCGTTCCTTCAGCAATATTTTTCTCCCAGTTGTGTGTGTGTGTGTGAGAGAGAGAGAGAAAGGAAGGAAGATAGTTTCCATATATTGGGATTCCCATCACGCTCCTTGCTTGCCACGGTTCCATGACAAAGATCCTTTCCCACATTGCAGGTGGTAAATGGACGGCTCAGCGGTGCCGCTTGGGTACGACTTGATTAACTTGTCAACGGAGATGTCTTCGTAGACAAGACGCTTTAGAAAACAAGGCCCGCTTCCCAAGAAACAGAGGCATGGGCTAAAATCTCCGGGTTTCATTGCTTCCCACCCCTGGCCCGGCAGCTTTGCTCTTGCGAATACTCCTCTCCTTGTATCTATCCACCTTCCTGGCTTCTCTTTACCGATTGCGGACAATGGCTGTCAACGCGCCTCCGGTCGTTCCCATTTTGCCCCACTTTCTGCCCGAGGAACTCAGGATGCCTACGTGGACCACATGACCTCGTTTAATTTATTACCTTTGATTGATTTATTTTATTTATATGCCGCCTTTTCACCCCCCATATGAGAGCCCAAAGTGGCTTACAATATTAAAAGCAACGGAGTCCAAAGCATGATAAGTTAAACATTTTTTAAAAATCAGCAATATGCTAACTCAAATGCAATTGAATAATTAAAAGCAAGTGAATATTGAAAACGATCTGACTCTAAGAAGGGTTTCGGGACTGCGATCGTGGCTCTTAAAAGCCTGTCCGAAGAGATGGGCCTTTAGCTGTCGGCAGACGGGTAAAAGGGACGGTGCCGTCCTGACCCCCCCCCCCGAGTTAGCTACATTTCTGGTGGGCCCCAGAATATCAAAGCACCAGACCGATGCGGGAACCACCCCAACACCCCTTTGAGGTAGGCCAGACCAAGAACTCAAGCAGCTTCCCATTCCTTTTTCACAAATGTTCGTCCAGATTTGGTTCGCCCTCCAGGCCATCCAAAGCTTGGCGTGACAAATTATTTGGGGGTTGCCTGTGTTTTGCCAGGTTTCCCACCCCCCCGACTTCTCTTCCATTGAATTCCTTGCTCCCACCATCGGTTCGGTAAAACATAACTGGCTTCTTCTTCTTCCCCCCCCCACTGCCGTGAAACAGTTAATCCCCTTCACGGCTTGCCTGGATGCGGCAAATGCTCGGGCTAATTAGAATGATAAATCAGGCCTCATGAATATGTAATAAGGAGTGCTTTATATTTCCATCCCTTCCCCCACTGCTGCTCGTTCCAAACGAGAGGGAACCTGCATCTTGGAGGGTGTAAAACCACTCAAAGAAGCAGCCGGGATTGCCCCAGAGATGGGAGGAGAGCTTTCTCTGGACTACAACTCCCATGATCCCCTGTGGCTGTGCTGGTGAGAGGATTGTGGGACCTGTAGTCCAAACGAGGGAATTTGTCCTAGCTGCGGATCAGACCCCAATCCTTCCCCGCTCAGCCTGGGTCTCCGCCGTATCTAGCCCATGGGTGGACATTCACATTGCTTCGTCCGTATGATTTCTCCATCCGTCCCTCCACACGGAAAGCAAGCTGTTCAAGGGAAAGGAGTTCTCCGCAGCTTGGGTTCTTCCCTGAAATGTTTGCTTTCTACACTGCAGAGATTTTTTTATTTTGTTTTTAATGGAACAGGGTTCACACCTGTCGTCACGGCTTTCAAACCCGGGAACAGGTTTAACCGGCAAAAATCTGACGGACGTTGAGGGAGGGAGGCCGTACCGGCGGTTGTGGGGAGTTAAGACTCCGTGAGACTCGGGTTCAAATCTTTGCTTTGCCAAGAAAGTGCTCTCGGTGACCCGAGGCTCTCTCTTCTCCCGACCTGCCTCATAGGGATGCCTTTCCAGTCCAGATTCGTTTGTTTTTTTTGGGGGGGGGGTGAAAGATCCAGCCAAGCCTGATGTCTAAGCCAAAAGTGGGTGGGGCGACCCACAAGGCGACCCACAAGCAGCTTCCCATCAAACAGCGAGCAGAGACGGGGGTCAGCCCAAGGCAGGGTCCCAAACAGCCCACGGCCAAGCAGGAAACGAATCCCTCTGGGCAGGAGTCCAGAAAGGGGGTGGCCAGGGCTAGAATCAGTAGGCACCTCTTCCAACATCCTCCATCTTCATTTTTCCCCTCCCTGCCTTGCAAATCCAGCCTGAGTATTTGTTGTAAACGTGGAGCAACGTCTCGAAGAAGCACCAGCCCGTTTTTCCAACAGACTCCGAGGCCACCGAACGTGTTCTCTTGAGTTGCGGAAGGAGATCCGGTAGCAGAGCGGGAGGATTTAAGAGGGGAGATGGTTGGAAGGACACTGCGAAAAAGCTCGTTGTGGTTGGTTGGTTGGAGGAGAGAGGGAGCGTGAGGAGCACCTCAAAATTGTCACCTGAGGCAAAAAACGAGCTTTCCTTCCTAGCTGGAGCTCGTTAGACAAATCAACATGCCCTCCAAAGGGCAACGAGGGGGGAAGGAGACACAGATAAAAGGGTCTCCAGAAACGTGCAAAGGAAACCTTGTGAGAATAGCGCAGCAATTATCCAGCGCCTTCGTCCACCATCATCTTCCAACCTTGCCTACGGGCATTTTGCT